TTTTTTTTTTTTGGCTGTCATTCGCCTTTTATATCTTTTTAATTACCGCCTTCAAAAATTAATTGAAAATGACTTTATAAACATAATAAAGTGATCAATTAATATTCAATATTAACATATTATTTCAATTTTTAATGATAGATAAAAATAAAATGGAAAAATAAATAAAGTATGGTAGTGATTGCAATCCTTTTTTCTAACCAATTAAAATTCCAAACAACTTGGAAATAATATTTCGAACCCAATATGTGTCCAAAATAGAACAATGTATCCAAAACTAATAATTATGAGCAATACTGCAAAAGCGGAAAAAAATCTAAAAGAAGGCAGAGATGGAGGGCCACAGGCTTTTTTTTTTTTTCCTTTTGCATTTTATGAAAAATATACAAACCTTTTGATCATGTGGTTTGTTAATAAAAGAATTTCAATGATCAAAATTTAAATCTCACAACCTCAAATAAAAAAAAAAAAAGAAAAAGTTTTTTTATCACAAAAATTTCATTTTAAAAAAAAATTGTAATTTCATCATAGACTTTGCCACTTGATAATTATAACAATGATGATGTAGATACAATCACTTAACCAGATATGATGACATGAAATGAAAAATATAGAGAAAAAAAGAGGTACCCTTACAAATATTGGTGACAAAAATATTAACTTTCAAAGTTGAATAATAAAAAATGAAGTAATGTTGTGTGATAAAAGAAAAAGGTAATATACCAATATTTAACATAATGCCAAATTAAAGTTTGGCGGACTCACTTGAATTGGACTACAATATATTGTGACTGGAAGACTATTTATTCTCATCTCTGCTTTCATTGTGCTAATTTCGTCTGCTTATTGATTTTAATAAGTTTTACCTCAATTTACCTATTTTTTTTATAAAATAAGACTAACAAAAATTGAATTTTAATAATTAAAATTAAAAATTTAACGTTTCACCAATAAATTATACATTTGTTGGCAATTTACCCAAATCGCACTTACGTATGCGCAATTAATCCCATAAAGTCCATTATTAGTAATTAAATTCTAAAAGCTTTTTTTTTGTGCATGTGATTTTGAGTTGTACAATAAAAAATAATCATGGCCTATTCTTAATCTCAATTTTTTTTTATTTCTACATTAAAATCCGAAATATCCAAATTAAAAATTTGAGCTCGAACCATTGAGATAACATTCTCTTAAAAGATAAAATAATTTAGCCATTTAGAAGATCAACGTACATGTTGCAATTCAGAGGTGATAGTTATTATAAAATTTTTAAGTAAAATAATCATGGACAACACGAATAAATCATTGAGTTCTTTTCATAAGGTTTGGGTTGTGAGATCGTACAATTAAAAAGAGAGAGAGAGAGAGAGAGAGAGAGAATTTTAGGATGAGTTTCCATAAAGATTGTCTTCTAGTTGGCTTCTTTCATTTTAATCACTTTAAATCATTCTTTCCTTGAAGTGAAGCAACTAATCTAAAGTAGGAATATAGGTGTACTTACAAAGAATAAAAATTTCAAGATGTCCATATTTTATGTCACCCGCAAAGCGAATCCTTTTTTTTTTTTTTTTTTGAAAATGTATATTTATAATATATAAAAATTTATCGATGGATATTTTCTTAACAAATTAAGAATTAAAATGTAGAAATCATGCTAATCCAGGAAATTAAATTAAATTGAATGTTGAAATGAAGAAAATTGATGAGAATCTTGGCAACGAACCAAAGAATCGAAGAAGAGAAGAATACTAGAGGCATGACCAATATTGGACCAGTTCTTAATTACTCTTAGTCTGTTTTCCTTTGAATTTTTTTATTAATATATTTTTTTGAAAAGTTCTTATTAGTATATTCAGTATTAATAATAAACTCAATCTACTATCTTTTCTATGCTCTTGAAAGTTCATGAAAATACAATGATCTTTTTAATAGGTTATATATGCAAGGGTGGGGAATATTACTTTTAATTTGTTCATGTATGCATGAAGTAATTATTTTACTTATCCTTTTGTTAAGACGGGGTTCATCGAAATTCGAATCTAGTAACTCAGTTGCAACTCTGTTTTTAATTTTATTAACAAAGGAATTTTTTAAGTGAAGTTTATAAATTTTTTTATAAAAATTAACATAAAAAATTTAAATGATAAATTTAAAGGTCTTATTATATAGATGTAATGTATAATTTTAAAAAAAATTAATATATTTTTATATATTTTTTAAATAATTATTTTTTGCTATAAATTTTTTTTTGAATTTTTACATTAAATACTAATCTATCGGTTTAAACTTTTTATTAAATCATTTTTATTAAAAAAATTTCATGAATTTTATCTAAAAAATTTAATCTAATATTTCTTTATTTAAAAAAAAAATTATATATGTTCTCTAACGAAAAGGATAAAATAACAAAGGGAGAATCTATCTCACGTTTTTTAACAAAGAATGAGCGACTAAGTACTCACATTTGTCTTATAAGTCCTTCATCTTAAACAGCCACGACTCATTTAAGACATCATCAGTAACATCATTAGTAATTAAATTCTTAAGAATCTTTTTGTGCATCTGATTTTTAGTTGTACAATAGAAAATAAACATCTCGTATTCATGATCTCACATTTTTTTTTTATTTCTAAATTCAAATTCAAAACATCCAAATCAAAATTTCAAGCTCTCGATAAAATAATTTAACACTTTAGAATATTATCATACATTTTGTAACCGAGGGGTGATAGATACTATAAAACTTTTTAGTAAATAGTCATGCACAACACGAATAAATTATTGAGTTCTTTTCTTATATTTGGGTTACGATATCATATGATAAAAAAGAGAGAGAGAGAGAGAGAGAATTTTAAGATAAGTTTCCATAAAGATTGTCTTCTAGTTAGCTTGTTTCATCTTAATCATTTTAATCATTATTTTCTTAAAGTGAAGCAACTAATCTAAAGAACGAACGTGGGTGTACTTATAAAGAATAAAAATTTCAAAGCGGCCAAATCTATGTAGCCCGTAAAGAAAAGTAAAAGGAAAAAACGGGTTTCTTAACAAACAATTAAAATGTATAAAATCAGAATCCAATGTTTGAATCAATTCTTATAGTCACCTAAGTAGCATATAATATGCTTGAAGTTTAAATTTTAATTTCCGCAACCGTTTTTTATATTTTTAAGTTGTGATTTCTTTTAAATAAAAAATATAAAAAACAAATCTAAACCAAATCAATAATATTGAACTAATTTTTAATTGCATTGTTAGCGTCAATTTTTGTCTGAGCAATTTTGATTATATCTGGTTTTCATAAATCTACTTTTCAATGAGCAATCGATAAATTTGAAATAGTTCGATTGATTTTATGCGAAGGATATTATCTAATGTTCGATATTTTTCAGTGGTGCTGTAAAATTGATTAGAATCTTAATTTTAGATTTGACCTCAAATGAATGAAATTACAAAATTATTTTTAATAGTAATATTACTAAAATACCTTTGAGGTCAAATTTTGGAAATTGAAATTACTGGGCAACAATACAGACCATAGTTATTAATTTTTTTTTGGTATAGGTCGTATCGGGCCAATACACTCTAATCATACAAAAATATGATACACTTAAAGATGATTTTTGCATCGAATTTGATATTAAGTAATATCGATTTTTTTTATTAGTTTCAATTGATTTCGGTGAATTTTGATGAATTTTAATGGAATAGCATGTTTTAGTCGATACATGAATATAAAATATATTTTATAATTTTTAACATGTCTTTTGTTGTTTAATTATTTTTAATCTAATAAAACTAAATTAATTGACAAAATAATCATTGAAAGTTGACTTTTTTTATATTTCAAATCAAAGTTTATAATTTTATATTTTATTTTTCAAATAAAAATTTATAAATATTTCAATCTCTTTTAATAAAGCAATTATGCTCTTTTTATAAAGTTTAACAATGATAAATTCATAATTAATTTTTCATCTTTTTATTTTTATTTTAATATTTATATTAAAAATATTTATTTAAATATCGTATGATCAAATTAAATATTTAAACATATCATTAAAAAATTATGATATTATTTTTTATGCTTTTAAACTTATTTATTTCATTTTTAAAGAAATTACATATTTATTTTGTAAATTATTAATAATATTATAGTGTATAAGTTTATATGTATTTATAAATATATTTGTATTAAATCAAAAATCTAAAATAATATATCAAAATAATTGATATCAATATATATTATATGTTTATAAAAAAAAATTAAAAGATATTAACAACTTTCATACAGACTTTATCAGCCAGCCACCCTACCGATAGACCTGTTCTACCTATCCTCACATTTTTCCTTTCCTCACGTCTTCGGACAAATCCCAAAAAATCTGGGATTACATGTAGGCTGGGTAATATACAACATAACACTATAACACATATGATATGAAAATATGGTATAAAAATGATATAATTTAAGATTATAATAATAATTATATATAAATTTAATAAAAAAAATTTATTTTTATTTTTATGTTAAATTAAATTATAATATATAATTTTTATATAAAATACAATATAAATATATAAATATTAATATTTTACGTCATATAGATATACAAAATGTGAGATCTATTTACATTGCTCTTCAAATGGAACCCGTGGAGGCCAATTATAAAAGGACACTCGGTCACCCGAATCAACTGACCAGCCGGCCATCCACCAATTCCACCTCCGCCATAGCCAAACTACCAGCAAACCAATCTCCACAGCCAGCCACTCACTCACCTCCCAACGATCCCAAACACCAATTTCTAGGTATAAACAACCCACCACCACAGCAATCTCAAAAAAAAAAGGAACCACAGCTTTCACCAAGAACCATCAACCCCACTGATAATGCCCACTGCCTAGCCAAACCCACAGCCCACCAAAATACACCAAAAAAAAAAAAAAATCACAAACAGCCGCAGTCCTCCCAAGGGCACAGCCCACGAATCTCTTCGGAAATGGCACAGCCAGAGAGTGTTGCCATAACAATTCATCCTCCCTCAACAGAAGACAACGTGATGGGTGCTTCTCGATCGGATGATATTGATACTTTGTATCAACTTATCGGAGAGGACGTAGATGTCTGGGACCGGATCAACATGAGGAAGTTTGTGGATACTCCACTACATATAGCTGCTGCTGCAGGACACACTTATTTTGCAATGGAAATGATGTACTTACAGCCATCATTTGCTACGAAGTTGAACAAAGATGGGTTGAGCACTTTACACCTTGCCTTGCAAAATGGGCACACACGATTTGTGCTTTCACTGCTGAAAATCAACGGAAGTCTCGTCAGTGTCAAAGGGAAGATGGGTTATACTCCTTTGCATTACCTAGTCATGAAGGAAACCGATGGTGATCTATTGACTGAGTTTCTCAATGATTACCCTGATTGTATCCATCATGTGACAAGTCGAGATGAAACTGCCCTACATGTAGCAGCCCGCAACAACCAAACAGCTCTTAAAGTTCTACTGCGCTGGCTCAGGAGAACAAATAACTCTATTGCACGTTGCAGAAAAAACGAATCCTTAACTCTAAGAACAGGGATGGCGAAACTGTGTTGCACATAGCAGTGTCACCAAAGACCCAGAGGTCGACTATTTTATTTACTTTTTAATCTCCTTCTCTGCAATGTATTTTACTTTGTTTATGTTTTTTTTTTTCTTTCGATGCAGATTATCAGGCTAATAAAGGATCTTAGGGTTGACATCAAGGCTATAAATTCGAAAAGTTCAACAGCTCTGGATATCTTAAATGGCCAAGCTCAAGGAGACTACAATATCAATATCAAGAAGTGCGTGGACATTTTACGCCATGGTGATGGTCTGAAGGCATCGGCTCGCAAAATACCATTGTTTTGTCTTGAGGTGATTTGTCAATGTGCATATGAACTCAGAGTAATGCCAGCTGACAGTGGCAACGCTTTGCTAGTAGTGGCAACGCTTTGCTAGTCGCAGCACTGATTTGTACAGCCACTTACCAATTCTCCGTAAGCCCCCCTGGTAGTGTTCTTCAAGCCAATGCTCTATCCAACGACCACAAATTTTCGGGATTGCAAATTTACTTAGGTTCCAAAAACACCAGTCATAATATAGTGGAAAAAATCGTATGCAAAGCAAATAACACTGCACAATTATCACTGCTACCGACGCGGCCTTTTCTTTGGTTATTTATTTCAAACCTGGTGACTTTCTCTACTTCTTTCCTCCTAATTTGTACGGTTCTTCTTTCTTTAATAGGATCTTCTGGTACTTTCTCTTGCTATCCCTGTCGATGTTATTTTTTTGCTTTCCGGATTCTGCACTGCTTATCCTATTTCCAAATGATCATTTTATCGTACTTTGTTGTTCTTGTGTCTGTTCCTCGCCCTTATCACCTTCGTTGCAAGTGTACCAGCAATCGTTCTCAAAATTAATAGATTTTTTAGGTAAGAATCAAGTCAAAGATGGATTCCAAAAGCCAAATAGTTCTTTGGCTGATGCGAAGAGTTGTGTTGTCAGTGTCTGTCTTTATATATTCTAGACTAAATATTCATCTAATGTTTATCAAATTCGTCATTTAAGAGTTCATCGATTGCTTCTTTCAAATAGAAAGGATGCAAAGTTTTCGTTTTTTATCCATATAAAAAATTTTATGACAGAAGCTAATGGATGAACCTTTACCATGTGAAGGTAACTTTTAACAAAGATTTGCATCCATTGGTGCGATTGACTTCTGTAATCAGTTTCTTTAAATGGATAAAATCGACAAAAATCAGACTATATATTTTGAGTCTATGTGAGTTTAATTTGTATTCAACTTGCGTGAGTTCGTATTCAACTTGTTTATTTTTAATTAATAATATTATGAGTTTCTGGTCAATTTGTGGACCTTCAGGATTCTCAAATTAAATAAAATATAATTATATTTTTGTACACCTATCTAAATTTTTTTATTAAAGGCATTTTTTTTTTTACAAAAAAGATTGCAATCTAAGTATAGATGAAATACTGCAAGCGCTAAAGTTTAAACTATAAACTTATTAAATATCAAATTTTAAAGGTCACAAAATGAATCATGTCTTTATTATTTATACAATAAATTACTTTTGTTAAAGGGTTTGACTTTATTAAAACGCAATAATCATGAATTTTCATTGAATTGATTTATTCTCATTAATTCGTAGCAATTAAATTTTTATGTTAAGTTAAATAATCTTGTAAGAAGGAAAGCAGTCCTCTGTTTTTTTTTTGCTTCTTTTTTTTTTTTTGTCGTTGCAAGAGGAAATTCATTATAAAAAATAAAAATTACTATGATCAATGATCAAACTCACACATAAATGCCTTCCTACAAAAGAACACTCATCTAAGATTCCCACGTTTTTTTTCAACACTTAACGATAGTACATAAACAAAACCACAAAATTATCAATATGCAATGCTTAATAATTAAATTATTAAAACTTTCAAGAGCTGTTCATGTAGGTTTTGGTAGTTTTGTACTTGTGTAACTTAAAAAAGAAAAGAATAAAAGTTTCATCCCCATTTCTCTTTTAAAAAATTTAAAGTGAATCGGAGTTTTATTTAATTAACACTAGCATAATGCGGAATTTATTATTGCATTTTATATATCAATATATACCATTAATTCCTTTCCAAAAATCACTATTCTTGTGACATAAGTGCCAACAAGATTACTTGTTTGGTATAAAGAATTTAGGATAAGTAAAGAGAATACTGAACTAATGATTAGGATTTATGATCTAAGATTTTAATTTGAAAATCTACAATTTAAATTATAAGATGGACGAGATAAAATTGATTGAAAATATTCAATTTAAATTATAAGATGAACGAGATAAAATTTATAGTTACACTTAAATTTGTTTAAAAGCTTAAATTTTAACTCTTTAATTTATTCAAAATGAATATTTCAAATTCAAAAGGATGGTTATTATCGCCTAAGCGAGAATTGCAAGGTTCCTTCATTATTTTTTTTCTGTGGTTGACTGGCTGTTATGATGTGGGATATTAATACTAGTTTAATACTTAACATAAATATTTATAAAAATATATTAAAAGGAGTCCCTAACTCCAACTTGTCAAACACGCACTGAATGTCTTTAAAAAAATAATAAAGTTTATATTTTGACCATAAAAATTTTTTATAGTTATCAACCCCCATTAAGAAGTTTTTAGAGGGTGAATGAAGCTTCTGGAGACACCAACTCACCAAATTATTTCCACTTCCAATTACAAATTCGAAAATGTCGATGATGACGATGATGTTGGCAAACAAAGACGCTTCGCTTCAACACTTTAACTTGAAAGCTTCCACATTTAGGTCAAGGACGAGCACGTCGTCTAATCCGACGGTTAGGCTGCATACGCGGATTCACCGTATGATTGAGGATCACGGCATCGTCCTACTGCCTGGCTGCTACGACGCGATCTTCTCTGCCATAGTCCAGCAATCTGGTTTCAGTGCTGGGTTCATCTCTGGCTATGCTCTCTCCGCCTCTCTCCTTGGCAAACCTGACTTTGGCTTGCTAACGTCAGAACCCTTCTTTTTAAATTCTATTTATTTATTTTGGGTTGTAAAACGTTACATAATGTGATATTTGGTTTTGGTGTTCCTGAAGGCCATCGGAAATGGCGACTACGGTGAGGTCTGTTTGTGTAGCGGCTCCGATGATACCGATAACTGCTGATGCTGGCATATCCTATTGTCATTACTGCATGTTTATAAAATGAATTAATTCAATATTTCACTAATCATATATCCATAGTAAAAGTCTGCCAACTGATCAATAAGAGTTAAAAAAGGTATCGGGTCATCTTCAACACCAATAATAGATGATCCATCTTACGGATTATCTTCAGCACCGACAATGGATGATCCATCGATGGAGCATGATGTCAACCCATCATTCGTTGATGAACCACTTAATGAAGAAGAAGAAGAAGGCACAATAACAAGGTAGAGGACTAGGGTGTAAACAAAGGCTTATCGACTCATACAGATCCAAACAAGTGGGTGTGGATTATTTTGCAAGGAGATAGGTATGACATAATTTTACTATTAATCTTTTTCTTTTTCTTATTTATTTTTTAAACAGTTCGTGCTATTTAAGTAATTCTACTAAAAAATGGATATTAATAGTTGTTTTGAGCAATCATTGGTTATCTCAACAATTTCAAGTATATTTTAAAGCAATTTTACTATTTTTTGGCTGACATAAGGTAAAGTTTCTACACTAATGAAGAATTCAATATTCGATAAATTTAAAGTAGTAATTAGATATTTATTTTTTAATTATATATATTTATTTTATTTATTTGAATTAAAGTTCATATTCGTGTCAATGATTTAGTGTGTCCATATATGTTAGGAAAAATGTCTGTGAACTGAGTTAGATGATGCTCTAGTTTAATGGGCATAGAACAATATTGCCAAGAATTGATTGAAAGATTTGATGTCGAATGAGAGGAATTGAAGATGAAATAGTGTGAAGTTAATAACATTATACACTATAGAGGGATGGAACAGAGGTGGATCATTGCTTCCATTTGGGTTGCTCTTATTAAGAATGTATGGAACATTAGGAAATGACAAAACATCTCTGCTAAAGCCAAAACAAATTATCAGACACAAAAAGAAAGAAATATCACTGGTGCTTCCATTGCATTTCTTGTTCATAGACAAAGGATGGTAAGGTGTTTTTTCATGAATTAATTTTATCATCACATTTCAATTTTATATAAATTGTATGTATTGTTACATATTTCAGTGATTATGCCTATAAATGAATGCAGTCACTTGATATGCATTTAATGACTTGAGTTGTTTTACATTACTATATTTTATGGATTTCAACTTTTTAATTTGGATTGTTTTAGAATTTATATGGATATGAACTTTATGATATTGATTTCATTTTTATACTTTTAACTAATGATAGACAAATAATAGACCTTTAAGAGAATTATACATGTTTTATTTTTAATTTAAAGATGTCATAAATAATTACTAATGGAATTAATTAAATTAGTAACAAAATTTAGATTTTACCTATGAAATTTTGACTTTTATCAATGGAAATTAGCAATTACCGATGGCTTAACAACAACTTTCTGATAGAATATCAATAGATTATCGATGGAACACAGATGGATTACCGACAAAAATCAATATTTACTGATGGATAACCAACCAATTATTGATGGTTTACTGATGGATTATCAATGAATTTCATCAATGGATTACTGATGCAATTACTGATGGAATGCCAACACAATTATCGACAAAATATTTATAGATGGAATAATTATATTAACGACAAAATTTTAAATTTACCAACAAAATAATTATATTATCAATAAAATTTTTAAATTTATCGATGAAATACTATTACCAACTCACTTACTACTGACATTTAAGCTTACACCATAGAAATTTATCGATAACACCCTGTTTTCTGGTAGCGAAATCCAATTGGTGCTTTGACTCGTAAATATCGATAATGAACTTGTTCGTATGAAAGGGAAAGAGGGTATTACCCCTTTCATTTTGTAATTGGACATAGGAATCTTAAACTTAAAAAAATAATATGTTTTGGAAAGGAAAATAATTTGCATGAAATCCTACCAATATATTGGAGGATTTATGTTTTGACAAAAAAATTTATTAACATATTGAAAGATATTTTTTAAAAATAAAAATTGATTTTGAATCTCCGATTATGGAATTATTAAGAATGTTGCAATAAGTAAATTTTTAGATGAAAAGTTTTTTTTTTTTTAAATTTACTAACATATTGGAGAATTTAAAAAAGATTTTTGACATCAAGATTCTCACAAAAATTTTCACTTATCATGAATAAAAGTTATTTTATAAAAATTAAATAAATCCAAAGACAAAACCTCTTCAAGTATGACAAATAATCTTGAATATTTCTAAGTTGAGGGAATGTCCCAAGTAATTGCAGGACAATTTTCGATATTAAATTATTTGACAAAATTTTTTAAGATTTTGGACAATACGAAATCAATGGGTATCATTATTTAAGTGGGTGTTATAGGGGCGCTATAATCTTTCTTGCACATAACTATACTTCTGAATTCATTTTGGTTTCGTAAACTAGAATATACTTTTTTAATAAATTTGAGTTTAGTTTAAAACTTTTTTTTTAAAGGGGAGATAAATTCAATTAAGTGACAATCGCATTTAAACAAAAACAAAAATTAGTGATGACTCCTCTTATTATGTTTAACGATAGGTTTACAAATTTATATATATTATGAAAACTACATGTGGAGCATCCGTATGGTTAACTGATAAAAAGAACATCCATACCTTACCCTCCCTTCCCAAAAATCTTGTACCATGTGTTGAAGTGCTATATTGACTTTGAGCTTTAGCGTGTCAAATGTTAGACCTCCTATCCTTGTTACATAGATATCAATTTCATGTTTCATCAGGCAAATTCTACACTTTGAAAAAGGTGAAAGACAGATTGCTCACTCTTATAGACTCCTTTAAGATATTCAATGTATAGTTGATTAATTTGATAGTAATTACAGGTAATTTTAAAACTAATTAAATTTTCTTTATTTTGTAATTAAAAATATGAATAAAAGAAAGAATAAAAACAAAATCAAAAAAAGAAATAAATTATTAATAATTAATAAGGTTTGTTTTTTCATTTAAGATTAATTTTAGGGTTTATTTGGAGAAGTTGTGAAATTAGTTTCGGTGAAATTGAAAATAGCAGTGAAAGTGATATTGGTTACTATTGTAATGAGATTAAAATTAGTGGTGTGATATGTGTTTGGATGTAAAAATAAAAGTGACAATGAAGTAAATTATAATGAGAAGAAAAAAATGACTATTAATTAAAAGTTATATATAATAAAAAATTTAAATGATTTGACATTTATAAAATTTATTTATTATATAAAATCTATTAATAAATAATAAAATTCATTTAAATTATTTATTAATGTATTATATAATAAAATTTATTTATTACATTAAATTAATAAAATTATTTCACAATTTTTAAATAAAAAATAAGTTTGAAGAGCCTTTTTGATGTAATAATATAATTTAAAGGACAAAAATGAAAAAAAAAATGAAAACACTGATCGGTCACCAACGAATCAAAAGTGGCCAATTGATAACTGGAGTTTGTTCAATTGCGGTGGAGCATCATTTGGGTGTAAAATCTGCGATTAGCATAACTTTTAAGAATAATTGCAGCTACTGATAGTGCATTTAAATCCAAACCCACCCTTAATAAATAACATCTTATAAGATAAGTGTATATTGCAGATAAGATGTTTTTCAAATTAAAAGAGAATAAGTGTATTTTTTTATCAAATTTTAGGACGGACAAATATTTATTTTTTCAATATAGAACAATAATTTCTTATCAGATGAACTAATTACCAATCTTGATACTATCGACGATATCTGTCACCTACTTCAAGACGAAATTTAGAACTCTATTGCTGAGATTGAGAAAGACATAAATTAATAAGATTAAGTAAATTGCTTGGTAATTGGGAAACAAAATAACTAAAGGGAAACAATAATTAGAAATTAAAAAATGTGTTTAATCCATAACAAAAGTAACAAATTTGACCAACCTGCATGAAGTTTCGAAAATCAAAATCAGTTGTCTTTTTCATTCTTTGTGGAGAAAATTAAGTGTACCAGGAGAATTATTCGTCCTATGAAAAGATCCCATTAGAATCTTTACACGCTAAACGAACGATTTTCTTGCATCTTTCGTCACTATTTGTTCTGTGTTCACATGTAATTTTAAATTACTATGTGTTTACAGCGGTGGAGTCGAAAATTTTGTCTCGAGGATACCGGCACATATGTAATTAAGTAATATTGATTCAAATATAATCACAGTAAAAATAAAATTGTATTGAGAACACTAAATTTGGATTATTATATATGAAAATTTAAAGAAAAATTTTTTGTGGATACTCTCAAATTTTTTTTCTTGAGATCTTTTTGTGTATATATATATATTTTATAAATGAACATTTTCGGAAAAAAAGTTTGAATCCTCCTTTCCTTTCAGCCATGTTTAGGATAGGTATGAAATGTGCATGAGGTGTACAATTAATGAGAATTTAAAAATATATTATATTTGATTATGATTGTAATTTCTTATTTTACTAGTAATATCATAAGGAAAAAAAAATCTAATTATAGCATAATTGGATAATAAAAAGTAAAGCTTTTGTAATAAGTAAATAATATTAAACTTCCGCCAATCTCCGCAAGCTCTGGCTCTGGCTATATATATAGACAACCGAGTAAGGCCTTTTCAATCTGTCTTCCCTGGTTTTGTCACTCTTACAATTCTCTTGCCATGGATTTGAGTGAGAAGTTGAGAGAGGGTGCTCAAGAAGGCAATATTGATGGCTTGTATGCAATCATTCGGGAGGATCCATGCATTTTGGAGCTCATTGATCAAGTTCCTTTCGTGGATACTCCATTACACGTAGCTGTAGCAGCGGGGAACGATGATTTTGCAATGGAGATCATGAACTTAAAGCCATCATTTGCCAGGAAGCTGAACAAAGATGGCTATAGTCCAATTCACCTTGCGTTGCAGAATGAGAAAAGCGTGCTTCGTCTCTTGGCTGCAGATAAAAGTCTGGTTCGTGTCGAAGGGAGGGAGGGCTACACTCCTTTACATTGGGTGGCTGCACAAGGGAACCTTCGTCTTTTAGCCCAATTTCTGGTGGATTGTCCTGAATGTGTTCAAGATGGGACGATTCGGAACGAGACTGCCTTGCACGTTGCTGCGAAGAGCAATAACAAACTTGAAGCTCTTCAAGTCCTGACGCGATCGCTTAGAAGGACCTATTTCTACAGCTCTTCTTTTGGGGAAAAAGCTCTTGAACTGGAAGGACAAAGATGGCAACACTGTGCTGCACGTAGCTGCATCTAAAAATCTACCTGAGGTACAAACAATCTCTTGCACTATAATTAAATTTAGTTTTCTCTTAATCAATGATTCGACCTTTCTTAATTTTATCAAAAGCAAGTAAATAAAAAAAAAAAAAAACACTTCTACACAATTGCCAAAGTGTTGCAAAGTTCCATGATAGGTTTGTTATATTTAGGATGTGAACTTCATTCTGCATGATAGACCCATTATTCTTATATCTAAAGTTTGTCACTGATAAGTTCGTTGTTCTTATACATGCAGGGAAGTATCAAAATAATGATAAAAGTAAATTCGACGTCAGTTAAAGTGGAAAAATTTTTGGCAAATTGGTTTTAGATTGGATGTCTGTCCTAAAATTTAACAGTCTTAATGGAGAATGGTCTAAAGACCTGTTGGAACTTGACAGTGGCAATTCTTGATAGTCCATTTGGTGCCATAGCGTGTGAAATTTCATTCAATTGTCATTTTTGTCCTGTCAATGAATTAATTAATGTTGCGTTTATATGTCTATTAAGCAGATGATGAGATTGTTATTAGATTCCAAAGTTAATATCAATGAGATCAATTCAAGTGGCATGACAGCATTGGATGTCATACAAGAACTCCCAGTCCTCGAGCAATCTGCAAAAAGAAAGGCAATGGACATTCTACTGAATGCCGAAGGTTTGAGCACTTCATCTATACCAAGAGCTCAAACCCTACACGAATTGTTAGGATCAAAGATTACATTTCTTGAAAGAGCATTCAGTGAAGTGTTTTATGATATTACAAATATGTCAGCTGAAAGAAGCAGTGCAGTTCTAGTGATATTGGTCCAGATTCCAACATCCACATACCAAGCCACTCTCAGCCCACCTGGTGGTATGTTGCAGGGTGATGGATCTGATTGTGTCTGCAAACAGACCAATTCCACCAACTCAAATGGTGGGAAATCGGTCCTGAGTTCAGCTTCTTTTCTTCTGTTCTATGTCCCAAACACTATTGCTTTTATAATGACATTGATCCTAACACTTGGGCTTCCCGCAATTATTGCTAGTGGGATCAGTTCTCTTCTTCTAGTGCCACTACTTCTCTTATATTTTTGCCTTCTGAGTTCTACATTTGACATATCACCCAATTCGGCTGTGGTAATATTTGGTTTTCTCCCTCTTCTTAGTTTACCTGTAATGCTAAGAGTCATTGGACACGCAAAATGTCTCAAGAAATATATGGTTGAAGAAGTTTAAAGAGATTTTGTCATCTCAAGTGAAACACCAAATAATGTATTTTATTTAAGTGTTTTAGTGTGAATGGGATAATATAATATTATATATTTTGTGATTCTGATTTTGTTCAAATTAAAGAAATGTTTTGATTTCTTTTCCCCTCATGATTTCTTTTAATTTCTAAACAAAAAAACTAATTGATTAATTAATTAATTGTAATAAAACAAATGTTCAACTAAGTACTCACATTTGTCTTGCTAGTCCTTCACCGTGAACAGCCACAACTTATTTAAGACATTATCAGACAGAAAATTAGTAATTAAATTCTTAAGAACTTTGTGCATGTAATTTTTAGTTGTACAATAGAAAATAATCATCTCTAAACATTCAAATTTAAATTTCAAGCTCTCGATAAAATAATGTAGCACTTTAGAAGATCATCATACATGTTACAATTAAGGGGTGATAGATACTATAAAATTTTTTAGTAACATGTACTTATGCACAACACGAGTAAATTATTGAGTTATTTTCTTAAGGTTTGGGTTATGAGATCATACGACCAAAAAAAAAAGAGAATTTTAGGAGTTTCCATAAAGATTGTCTTTTAGTTAGATTATTTCATCTTAATCACTTTAATTAGAATCATTCTTATTCCTTAAAGTGAAGCAACTAATGTAAAGTACAAATATACATGTATTTACTAAGAATTAAAATGTAAAAAATCATACCGAACCGGTAAACTAAATTAAATTAAGTTAAATGTTGAATTGAAGAAAACTTGATGAGAAGATCATGGCAACAAACCAAAGAATTGAAGAAGAGAAGAATACCGGAGACATCTCCAATATTGAACAGTTCTTAATTACACATAACCTGCTTTCCTTTTAAATATTTTTTATTAGTATATTTAGTATTAGTAATAAACTCAATCTATGATATTTTCTGAGTTCTTGAAAATTCATGGACATACAATGACCCTTTTAATAGGTTGTATGTAATTTATATGCAAAGGTAGGGAATATCACTTTTGTTCATTTATATAGGAAGTTAATTATATAATTATATTACTGATTCTTTTGTTAAGAAGGGGTTCATCGAAATTGGAATCTAATGCCTTGCTTGTAACTATGTTTTTTCTATTATTAATAAGGATATTTTTTAAATGAATTTTGTGAATTTTTTATTAAAATGATTAATTAAAAATTCAAATAAAAAATTAAAATGAATAAATTGAAAGGTCCTATTTTATAGATTAAATATTTAAATTTTGAAAAAAAATAAATTTTATATATTATTTAGATAATCATTTTATTATAATTTTTTATTAAATTTTTGCTGATAAATAAATATTAATCAAATTTAAATTATAAATAGTATTTTAAATTTTACATACTATTAATTTTTTTATTCAACATTATCAATTTATGAATTTAAATCTTTTATTAAATCGCTTTATTAAAAAACTTCACCAATTTCACCTATATATCTAATATCTGTATTTTAAAAAACCCTATATTCTCCAAGAAAAAAAACAGTAAAGGGAGAATCTTTGTCACGTTTACTATAGGTGCAAATTCTTGATGGTTTTAACTAAGAATGAAGATAAGCACCTTAAAACGTGATGGGTATCACTTTAAACGTGCAAATTCTTGTATGAAGGAAGCAAGTCTCCTCTTTCTTTCTCACCTTTGTGTATCACTTTAAACTCAATCTAAACCCTTTCAATCGTCGAGCCTTTACGATCTCTTCGGCAATGGCACAGCCAGAGAGTGTTGCCATAACAATTCATCCTCCCTCAATGGAAGACAAAGTGATGGGTGCTGCTCGATCGGGTGATATTGGTGCTTTGTATCAAGGTTTTAAATAACGCCTGCAACGCGATAAAATGACCGCTATTTAGCGGTGTCGCTGTCTACCGTTTCCGCCATTCAATTGCAATAAGGTGTGATTGGTAATCACACCTATAATGATTGTTTACGATAACAAATAACAGCTTAACAAAAAAATACGATTATAACAAGACGTTAAAGTCACTATTTATGTTTCTTTTTCATCAAATAAAATGAAAACACATACCAAAATGATAAAAAATCATGCCTCAAGTTCAAACTATTTAGTTAAATTTAAATCTTAATCAAAATAATTAGAACAGAAGTAGTGTAAAGATAGAGCTCCAGTAAAAGAACTAACCTTCAAATCGTCAAACCCATTTCATCAAGGTATGGGATCTTTTGGTTTTGCAACTTAAGAATTGTATAATCCCATAAAACAATTACAAATAGCTCTCAAATCAATCCAATAGAAGGGAGAGAGTTGAAATCTCTTAAGAAAAAGACAAGAGGGAGGTTGGATAGGGTCGTAGGTGACTCTATTTTGGGATAAAAAGCAAAGTGAACAAAGAAGAAAAGACAAGAGGGAGATCGATATCAGATATAAATTATTTTTTGTTTTTTATTTTGGCCATCTTTTTCTTTAACTTTTTGGAAAATGGGTATTTGAATTTTTTTATGATTTGGATAAAAATTTAATGGAGTAGTTAGCTATTAAATAGTTAATTTAATTTTTAATTATCTAAAAAATCATTTTATAATAACATAATAATATTATTAAGTATATTTATTATTAATTTTTTTATACCTAATATTTTTAGATAAAAAATTTAAGAACAAAGGAACATAATGATCAAAAAAAAGTTTTTGGGAATGTTTTGAAGATTTTAGGTGAGAAATTTGAAAGAAAATGAGAGATGATATGTACAAGTGATTTTACATGTATCTATTCCACATAATTAAATTTTAATCCATTTACCTTAGTAATTGTACTTAAAAATATTTAAATGTTCATTATTATTCTTTTTAATTAGATTAATTTATAATATTAATTTCATAATGATAATTTGTCATCAATCATATGCATTTATAGCATTTATATTGACAAAATTCATGGATATATTAATGATCAACATTTAGATATTATATTGATTTATGACTCAAAACAAAAAAAATTAAAATATTTATTTTAATATATACATTAAAGAATTAAAATATTATAAATTATTTTAAATATAATAAGCATGTTTATAATTATTATTTATTTCATTTTATGATTTATTGTTCAAAATTAAAAAAAAAATTCACAACCGCGATGAACGTGATTACTGTTATTTTATCTGTTATCTCTGCAACTGTGATAAATGTGACGCGACTGCAACCGCGATTTAAATCCCTGGTATCAACTTATCGAGAGGATGAAGGTGTCTTGAGGCGGATCAAAAAGAGGGAGTTTGTGGATACTCCACTACACATCGCATCAACTGAAGGAAACACTGATTTCGCCATGGAAATGATGAACTTACAGCCATCATTCGCTACGAAGCTGAACAAAGATGGGTTGAGCCCTTTACACCTTGCATTGAAAAATGGGCACACATAATTGGTGCTTTCACTGCTGAAAATCAACAAAAGTCTCGTCAGTGTAAAAGGGAAGATGGGTTATACTCCTTTGCATTGCCTGGTCATGAAAGAAACCGATCGTGTTCTTTTGACTAGGTTTCTCAATGCTTTCCCTGATTGTATCCATGATGTAACAAGTCGAGATGAAACTCCCCTGCATGTAGCAGCCCACAACAACCCAAGAGCTCTTACAGTTCTACTGCGCTGGCTTAGGAAAACCTCTAAGTGTAGCATGTGGCAGAAATAACGAATAACTTCAAGAACAGGGATGACGAAACTATGTTGCACATAGCAGTGTCGAACGACCAACCAGAGCCAGAGGTGAACTCTATTTTCTTTTAGTAAGAGACTCATTTTAATCTCCTTTTCTACAATATATTTTTCCTTGTTTATTTTTGTTCTTTTGATGTAGATTATGAGGCTGTTAACAGATCTTAGGATCGACATTACAGCTAAGAATTCGAAGAGTTCAACAGCTTTGGATATCTTAAAAGACCGAACTCAAGGAGACAGTATCAATATCAAGAAGTGTGTGAACATTTTACGCCATCCTTGGGGTCTGAAGGCATCGTCTCGCAAAATACCATGGTTTATTCTTCAACTGCTTAGTCAATGGGGATACGAAATTAAACATATGTCAGCTGACAGGGGCAACGCTTTGCTAGTAGTAACAGTACTGATTCTTACAGCCACTTATCAATCCACCCTAAGCCCCCCTGGTGGTGTTCTTCAGGCCAATGCCGAATCCAACGACCAGAAATTTTCGGGATTGCAAATTTACTTAGGTTCCAAAAACACCAGTCATCATGTAGTGGAAAAAATCGAATTCAAAGCAAATAACACAGCGGGATCATCAGTGCTGCGGACGCAACCTTTTCTGTGGTTCTTTATTCCAAACATAGTGGCTTTCTCTACTTCTTTCCTCCTAACTTGTTTCGTTCTTCTGACTCTCGTTAGTGGTTTATTCTCGTTCGTTCTGATGCTATCTCTGTCGATGCTACTCTTTTGCCTCCTGGATTCTGCACTGATTATCGTAGCACCAAATGATCAGTCCAGCAAAATTCTTTTTTGTTGTGTCTATTTCCTCTTCTATGTCACCTACCTTGCAATTGCACCAGTAGTAATTCCCAAAATGAGGAGATTTTTTCGTTAAGAATGCAAGTCAAAGATGGATTCCCAATGCCAAATAGTTCTTTGGCTGATGCGAAGAGTTGTGTTGTAAATGTCTGTCTTTATATTTTCTAGACTAACTATTCATCTAATGTTTATCAAATTCGTCATTTAAGAGTTCATCCATTGCTTGTTTCAATTAGAAAGGATGCAACGTTTTCGTTGTTATCCATATAAAAAAATTTTATAACAGAAGCTAATGGTTGAACTTTTATCATGTGAAGGTAACATTTAACAAATATAGATTTGCATCCATTGGTGCTATTAACTTCTGTCATCAATTTTCTTTAAATGGATAAAATCAACAAAAATCAGACTATATATTTTGAGTCTATGTTTAATATTGTGAGTTTGTTATTCAACTTGTTTATTTTTAATTAATAATAATCTGAGTTTCTGTTCAATTTGAGGACCTTTAGGATTCTCAAATTAAATTAAATATAATTATATTTATGTACGTCTATCTAAATATTTTTGTTAAAGAGATTTTTTTTTTACTAAAAAAGATTGCAATCTTAGTATAGATGAAGTAATGCAAGTGCTAAAATTTAAATTATAAACTTATTAAATATCTATTCTTAAAAGTAACAATATGAATCATGTCTTTATTATTAATGTACTAAATTACTTTTCTTCGAGGGATTGACTTTATTAAAATGAAATAATCATGAATTTTCATTGAATAATCATGAGTTTTCATTGAATTGATTTATTCTCATTAATTATCGTAACATTTAAATTTATATGTTAAATTAAATAATCTTGTAAGAAGAAAAAGCACTCCTCTGGATTATTTTTGTCATTGCAAAAGGAAATTCATTATAAAAAATAAAAATTACCATGATCAAACTCACACATAAATGCCTTCCTACAAAAGAACACTCATCTAAGATTCCCCCTTTTTTTCACCACTTAACGATAGTACATAAACAAAACCACAAAATTAGCGATATGCAATGCTTATCAATTAAATTATTGAAACTTTCAAGAGCTGTTCATGTAGGCTTTGGTAGTTGTGTACTTGTATAACTTAAAAAAGAAAAGAATAAAAGTTCATCCCGATTTCTCTTTTAAAAATTTTAAAGTGAATGGGAGTTTTATTTAATTAACACTTTAATCAATGTTACTCTAGCACAATGTGGAATTTATTATTGCATTTTATATGTCATTATATACCATTAATTCCTTTCAAAATAATCACTATTCTTGTGGTATAAGTACCAGCAAGATTACTTATTTGCTATAAAAAATTTAGGGCAAGTAGAGAGAATACCATATTAATGATTGGAATTTATGACATAAGATTTGAATTTGGAAATCTTCAATTTAAATTATAAGATGCACGAGATAAAATATATTGAAAATATTCGATTTAAATTATAAAATGAACAAAAGCTTGAATTTTAAATATTTAATTTATTCAAATAAAATATTTGAAATTCAAAAGAATGGTCATCATCGCCAGGCGAGAATTACAAGTTTCCTTCATTATTTTTTTCTCTGTGGCTGTTATGATGTGGTATATTAATACTAGTTTAATACTTAACATATATATATATAAATATATATATATATAAATATAAATATATATATATATATAATGGCCACCATTTAATTTTCATTTCCTTCGTTATGCTCTAAACTGTCAACTGCTAGTTCGTTTCTCCAATTTTGATTCCTCTTAGTTTCCTTCTTTGATAATTATCCAACAATATGGATCCGAGACTGAGGGAGGCTTCTGAAGCAGGAAACATTGACGCCTTGTACGCATTAATTCAGGAAGATCCATATCTTTTACAGCATATTGATCAGGTGCCTTTCATTGATACTCCATTGCACGTTGCTGCATCTGCAGGGAAACTTGATTTTGCAGTAGAGATTATGAACTTGAAGCCATCTTTTGCAAGGAAGTTGAACCAGCTTGGGTTTAGTCCTTTGCACCTAGCTTTGCAGAATGAACAATTCCAGTTGGTGCTTCGACTCGTAAGTATTGATAAAGAGCTTGTTCTTCTGAAAGGGAAAGAGGGTATTACTCCTTTTCATTTTGTAACTAGACATAGGAACCTTGATCTTCTGGTCAATTTCCTTAAAGCTTGTCCTGAATGCATCGAAGACGTAAATGTTCGACGTGAGACTGCTCTGCATATAGCAGTGCAAAATGACATGTTGGAAGCTTTTGAGGTCTTGTTGGGGTGGCTTCAAAAGAGCCATCATGAAAAAGCCAAATATTGGGAAAATGAAGTCTTGAAGTGGGGGGGGGGGGGGGGGGGGGGAGCGGCACAATGAAGGCAACACAATCTTGCACATTGCAGCAACTAGAAATTTACCTAAGGTATTTCACACCAACGATTTAGGCACTTCTATTTTTTTGTTTTAGTTGCAAAAGAGGTCTCAGCTTGAGAATAAAGAAAGAGGTTGCAGATGCTGTGATTCCTGTTGAATACCACCTCTTAATAATGATTGTATGAACTAATTAAGTTAAGCTCCGGGTACATACTTTATGTTTGATACTTGAGACTACCATGATTGAACTGTAGTGAGTAGGGTTAAGATTCCAATACTCTATCAACCTACCACAAATTGCATTTCACTTATAGAAAGAAGAGATGAGTTTGAATTAGTAATGATGCTTCTATCAATTGGGAAGGTGGTAGAACAGCTGCTAAAATGTCGAATAGACAAGAATGCCAAGAATTTGGAAGGTTTGAGAGCTATGGATATCTTACAACTGGGAGATCAAAGACTAGTCGACAACACAGAGATTACGAGAATGCTAGCCAAAGCTGGAGGTTTGAGAGGTTCTTTTCATTCCTCGCTTGGAAATTTTCGAACCAATGCTCATTACTTCCGATCAACAATCACATATGGTGAAAAATTAGCTACAAATTTAGCTTGTGAAAGCAAGAACATGTCAAGTGACACACGCAACGCATTGCTGGTAGCTGCTGTGTTTATTATAACTGCTACTTACCAAGCATCTTTGAGTCCACCCGGTGGGTTTTGGCAAGGTGACAATAACAACAATCCCAATTCTGGGAGTCCAGCTCCAGGGACAACGGCAATGAAATCAAGAACTTTTCGTTTGTTCATGATATACAACACAGTTACCCTTTGGTCAACACTTTTGCTGATAACATATCTCCTCCCAAGTGGTTTTCCCAGTTTTCTGCTTCTCGTACCACTTTCTGTCTTGGGATTCTGCTACACACTTTCCATGGATGTCTCATCACCAAACCGTGATTGGTTCCCCATGAATTTTCTTATATCATCATGGATTGCTATATCTGTTTTTGTGGTGTCTAAGCTTTCAGTTAAACCCGAGAAATATAGATAGAATAAATTTTTTTAATGTCAATTACAACACTTGTTTATAGTTTATTGTTCAAAACATCGTATGTTATTATGTCACTTTAGATTAAAGAGCCAAATGTAAAGCAGATTGGTTTAATCCCCTGGTATCTTTGATCGAAAAAATAAAGTCCCTAAAACTTGATCAGCCTTTTCTTCATGCAAAATAAAATCATGGTTTAATTCCTTTGCATTGCATAAATGAACTAGGAAATCCTGAACTTTGGCTAAACTAGCTAGTAATATATATTTTTTGTGGTATGCCCTGAAAGCATTGAAAGATGCATGTTCAGGGACAGACATTTTGCTTCCAAGGACCTGAAATGGAGGAAAAAGAGCCAAATGGAATAAGACGCTTGGAGGGTCTCTGTTGCTTGGAAGAAAACAATGAATGGAATGAAAGGTAAATTGATTAAAAAGCCAAAAGCAATGACAGTTTCAAGAGAAATCAAACATATTCTAAGCGACATGCTTTCATGTTGGAAGCAGCTTGTCCCCTTAGTAGGATTATTCTAAGCATTGAAAGAGAGAAAAAAAAAAAAAACTTAGACTGATGTTAATTGTAACAAAACAACAATGCAATTCTCCTTTTAAAAAAAGCTAACCAATAATATTTACTTTAATACGATCCATTATTAGACTTTATATATTATAGCATAAGGGTCTATCATGTGACATAACGTGAATAAATAACAAATTTATCAAGCAAGGGACAACTATAGAGACAAAACCTACTCTTGGAGCCTGCTGGAGGGCTTTAGTTTCTAAAGGGCTTTTGTCTTGTCCTTAAGCAATATTTTACTAAAACTAATACAATTGGACTTTTTTTTATTATTTTTATGAATTAAATACTTTGACTTGACTTACAATTTATTGGCCAATTCTATGATATCTACCTCCAACTTCTAAAAGAAATTGGTAATCCACAAAAGAATGGAAGTTAAAACCAAAAAGCAAATAGTACGGCCTGGTTCTAGTTTCCCAATTTCCCTTTATTAATAAATATTTTCCACTTAAAAAAAATGTCAAATTCAATACAGAAAATGATAATATTCAAGTGCAATGTCGGTTTTTAATTTATTTCTATTAAACTACGGTGATGTTTACCTTATTAGTTTATTTTGTTTTTAAATCATTGATAAACTTCATATATTAGTTATTGACCAAGTTGCAACTACTGACTAATATATATTAATTTATTACAAAAAAAAAAAGAGATTTCATTTACCAAGTATCGTTACACTCATTCAGATCTCTTTTATAGATTATTATTTTATACATTAAAAAAATTAGATAAAATTTTTTAGGTGAAGTTTGTGAAATTTTTTTATTAAAAATGATTTAATAAAATTTTAAGAAAAATTTAAATCAATAGATCGATAAAATTTAATGTGAATATCAATAATATGTAAAAAAAAAATTAAAAAAAAATTTATAATTCAAATTAATTGATACTTATACAATGGTAAAAATTTTATCAAAATTTTTACTAAAATGCCTATATAAAAGTTATATCAAAATTTATTGAAATTTCTCAAATTTTGTACATTTGTTCTATGTAAAAGAATATTTCAATCTATCAATTTTTATTTTTTATTTTATTTAATTGACTTTAATAAATTTTATGAATTTCATCCGAAGAATTTCATCTAAACTTTTCCTTTTATGCATTACCTAACTGATATTTCTCAAGTGAAATTAAAATATTAATACATATTTATTTATTAATTTTTATACACATATTTTACTATAACATTTCTCATATTTTTTTGAATAAGTTAAAGATTTTATTTTTCCACTAAAAATAGGGATTACTAAAAAAATAGAGAAATATTTTGATAAAAGTTTTTAGGTGAAATTTATGAAATTTTCTAAAAAATAATTAAATAAAGACTAAAATAAAAAATCTAAATCCATAAACTTAAACGTAAATTAATTAAAAAACCAAAAGCAATGACTGTTTCAAGAGAAATCAAACATATTGCATGCCTTTCATGTTGGAAACAGCTTGTCTCCAGGGTAGAACCAACATCAAAGCTTAGAAATTGCAATAAGGGGAAAAAACTTAGATTGATGTTAATTGTAGCGAAACAACAATGCAGTTCCCCTTTTAATAAAAGTTAACTAATAATATGTACTCAAAGCAACCCATTAGACTTTATGTATGCAATCACTTGAAGACATAACATACTTATCGAAAAAGGGACAGCTATATATGGAGATAAAACCTACTATTGGAGGGTTTTACGAGAGGATTAAATTATTTTATTTTAAAAGAATGATTAATTTTTTTTGTAATTCTATCTATTTTTTTTAAAAAAAAATAAAATATAATATAAAATAATTATCATCATATACTATCTGTTATCTTATTCACCAATAATGACCTTAGCTTCTACGGGGTTTGATCTAACTTCTGGTAGTTGAGAGTTTGTTGTAGGTTAAGAAAGGAAAGTCAAGGGTGCAGGAGATGATACTTCAGGGTGCGTTTCGTAGTTTAAGTTAATAAGGTATACGAAAGAAATGATAAAGTATAGGAAAGCAGGGAGCAATTAGAGAAGGCAGATGATGACCTGATTAATTGACTTGTCAAGTGTTAAGTCTTAGCAGTCAGAGCCGCTGCTGATGAGGGTGTTTATGTATAAGAGTCCTTAAGCAACATTTTACTAAAACTTAAACAATTGGATTTTTTTTTTGAAGGGTTTATATTTGAAGTATTATTAATCTATGAATTTTATATACTATCATTTAATCGAATAATATTATCTCATTAATTAACTTGACTTACTATTTATTGGTGGATTCTATGATATCTACCTCCAACTTCTAAAAAATTGATAATCAACAAAAGAAGTGGAATTGAAAACCAAAACCCAATACATATACATTTGTTCTAGTTTTCCACTTTTCCTTTACTGAAAATCAATACAGAAAATGATATTATATTCTAGTAAAATTGTTGATTCATAATTTATTTCCATTGAACCACCATGATGTTTACCTTATTAGTATTTTTTTTAAATCATTGATAAACTTAATTTGTTATTGACCAGGTTGCGACTACTGACGAGATTTCATTTTCCCTATTTCGTTCCATTCAGACTAATCTTTTATAGATTATTATATTATATATTAATTGACTGATATTTTTCAAGTGAAATAAAATATTGATACGTATTTCATTTAATAATTATTTATTTATTATTAATTTTCATACCTATATTTTACTATAACATTTGTCAATTTTTTTGAAGAAGATTTTATTCATAGGGAATTATTTAAATAAAATTTTTTAGGTAGATTTCGTGAAGTTTTTATTAAAATTTATTAAATAAAAATTAAAATCAAAAATTAAAATTGATAAATTAAAAATTTTTATTACACAGATTAAGTATGTAAAATTTGAAAAATGTTTAATAAATTTTAATATATTTTTAACATAGATATATTCACTAAAATTTTTGTCAAAATTTTTAGTTTGAATACAATGTTGATTAAATTTGAATTATACACTGTATTTTTTAAAAATACATATTATTGAATTTATCATTGAACTTTATAAATTTATTAATTTTGATTTTTTATTGAAATTTTTATTGAATCATTTTTAATAAAAAAATTTCACTGACTTTCACTTTAAAAAATTGACCTAAATTTTCCCTCAAATCATAAAAATAATAGATTACAACAAATCAGGAATCAAATAAAAATTCTAAACAAATCTTCATTGTTGACAAAAAAAAAAAAAAAAGCTATTTACATGATCACAAGAGATATTATGTAAACCATAAAGCTAAATTTAAAGATTAAAACATTTTTCAATCTTTTAATTTTATTTATTGAATCTAAAATTTTCATTGTTAATGTGTAAAAAAAAATTTATCATATATTTATTTTTATATTTTTAGCATTTATTAAATATAAGTATAGAAGAAAGTGTGGCTGAATGAATCATTATCCGATGTTGATTTTTAGAATGAACTTCGGATCATTACGGGGAAGCGCAAGCCATCTAGGATTTGGGAAAATTGCTGGGTTTCTTTGCGAATTGCGAAGATGCTATTGTTATTGATAAAATGAAAGATATGGTGACTAAGATATCTTACGTAATTTTAAGTTTTGTCAGTGCAGAATATGTGGGACGTGAGGATTTATTGTCATAACAAATAGATTTGTAGATCTATTATTAGAAATAAATTTTAAAAGTTGTTATCAATTTTATTTTTTATTTAAAAGTAATTGGTCACTCAACCAAATCTGTCTCATTTAAAGATGAGTCTCAAAATTAATTTAAGCATTTTTAAATAGTAGATTTTAGTCTACGAAATTAGATTTTAAGTTCAAAAGTGTGGTTATGCATGAAGAAGGTTATAGCATCCTCACAGCATCCATCCAAAAGACAGTACCAGCTTGATTTCAAATTATTTAAGTCTTAAAATATTTTTATAATTTTACAAAATCATTTAATTATTAGAAATTAATCCTCACTTTGTTCCAATAGTTTGGTAGAAATTTAAAATGATCTTCTTATCTCATGAGTATTCATAAAAACTAGTGTTTCACTCTAAAGAGGTTTCGTCGTTAAGTTTATTAATATATTTTATTCAAAAAAATAATTAGTAAAATCTTTCTATAATTCGGTAAGATTTACTTTTAATGCAATCTTTCAATAGTTTGATTAGATTTTATTATAAAATTATTTTTAAAAAATGTATTAAATCTTTTAATAGTTTGATAAGATTTAATTTTAAATATAAATTCTCTAATAGTTTGATAAGATTGTAAGACATTTTTTTTGAAAACTTTCTTAATAAAAATGAAATAAAATAAGCACAAATTATCATGCAAAGATCACCATGCAAAATAATATTATATCATCATGCAATGAATAATATAATATATAAGTTATTATGCAATTGATATAAAATATCATGCAAATATATTAAACTTATGCCTAAATAAGAACTAAAGATAAATTAATAAAAACATCAAGCAAAAGTAAATATTTTTTTATCACATTAACACAATCAAAATAATAAATATTAAAATACAAATATATAAAAAAATCAAAAATCAAAAATAGAAAATAAACATAAAAAAGGACAAACTTGTGCTATGGGTCAAGCTCCCGATGGTCACACCTGGACCTACACATATTTCACATAGATCTTGACTTTCTCAAAATGACATCATCTAACCCGGTATAAAAGGTAAATTTTTTTTTCTTTAGTTGCCTCATTCTCTTCTTTCTCTTTCTCTAGATCTAATTCTTTCTGACTTCTCTCTAGAAGTCTCATCGGGAACTTCAACCAAATGTAGAGCCCAACAAAAAACCACACTCCAATATAGGGAAATTCAACTGG